AGTTAAAGGTTCGAAAAATTAAGAAACATTTTTGATCGTCGATAAATGCGAGTTATTGAGAAAAGAAGTTCTATATCTAGGCCATACTATCGCCAAAGAGGACTTAAAATCTAATGACGAAAAAATTCAATCAGTTCTGAAATATCCGTTACCGCGTACAGCAACCGAAATAAAATTTTCTGGGATTAGTAGGATATTACAGAAAATTTATTAAATATTTCGCTAAACTTACGCGATCGCTTACCTTTTGCCTGAAAAAGAAAAACAAAATTGAAATAATATATAAACGCGTTCGAAAGATGTAAAGAGCTATTAACAAACGCCCCATTCTTACTATACCCTGATTTCTCTCGACCGTTTGTGCTCACTACAGATGCGTCGAACTTTGCCCAAAGTGCAGTTTTATCGCAGGGAACTATCGGTAGTGATAAGCCCATAGCCTTTACAAGTCGCACATTGAACGATGCTGAAACGAAATACAGCACAATAGAGAAAGAACTTTTGACAATCGTTTGGCAATCAAATCAAAATAAACTGAATAGCAAACTCACTAGACGGAAGTTGTGCCTATCGGAAGTTCATTACGAAATAATATATAAGAACAGGAAACGGAATTGTAACGCTGATTCTTTATCTAAAAATTAGGATTAACTCCTTAACTGATAACGACGATATTTCTATGCAAGTGAATACGAATAAAAACGAAAGAAAACTTCAACATCAATTGAGTAACGTAGTCTTTAAAATTGTACGCTAGGTCATTCAAATCAAGCAATGGACACAGTAACAGTGTCATCGGATTCTGAAACCTTGAGTATTTCCTCCTTACATGGTAGCCAGTTCCCATATCAGATACTGTCTGCAACTAGTAGTACCGCCACAACGTCTGACAACCGAGAAGAACTTATAATATTGTTATACGTTAGTTAGTGATTAATTAGTGTTTCCTGTTACTTACGAAAATATTGTAAAATTAGAAAGATTTATCGAGATAAAAGCCTATATAAAACAAAATCAGATAAAGTTTATTATGAGTATTCCCTTCATTAGAAACGAAATTTTTAACTATTATAAATTGATTCCCTTACCTGTATTACTTATTGGCCATGCGACTCTCATCCTATCTAAAAAATTTTACCTACTTATGAAAGGATTGAAAGCTACACCACTCTCTCAGTTACGCTGCAAGGTCGACGAACGTCGATTTCTGTGTTATGAGCTCCTAAGACATGCTCGTCCTGAGCATTACCGGCCCCATAATAACGCGCCAGGCGATAATGCGTAATGCTTTTAACTTTTATAAATATTTTATTCAAACTGTATTAAATTTACAGCTGTATAAAATAGCAGTGAAAAGTCAGCAGAAACCTAAAAATTGTATCCAGGAATTTGTACCTAATTTGTTGCTAATTAGTTGCCAAAATTGCAATTTTGTTTGCTCCGATTTTTAAAAAAATTATTTACTACTATCTTTACGTTAAGATAGCAGTAAAAACTTTAAATCAACCCCGCCGCAGCAGATAAGATATAACTTTTTTACGATAAGGGACAATTTGTTGCTAATTAGTTGCTGAAATATAATGAAAAAAATATATAAAAAAATTCAAAAAAAAATTTAATTTTTAACCTATTATAAAAATTTGTAGAATTAAAGTTGTGTTTAATAATGGTTCTGAATATCCCAATTAAAGAATATTTTGCTCCTGATCAATTTGTTAGCTGCTGATCAATTAGATAACTTGTGTACGTGGTAAATTTACAGAAGTTTTTAGTTAAAAATGGCAGGTATTTTGTTATTGTTCATAAATGGAAGCAGCAAGTCATAAAGAGCCAGAAACAAAATAAAATCCATTGATGAGCTGCACCAAGTAATTATTTAGTAATTATTTGTGTACATGCTATATTTAGTTGAAAATTTTAGAAAAAAAGATGGCAAATATTTCGCTGCTGGTCGGTAATGGTAGCAACAAGAGTCATAAAGAGCCAGCAACAAAATAAAATCGATAGATAAGCTGCACCACGTAATTAAATAAAAATTATTTGTGTACATTATAAATTTGCTGATAATTTTTAGAAAAAAAGACGGCAGATTGAGACGGCATCAGATGAGTTGCTGTTCGGTTATGGAAGCAGCAAGTCATTAAGAGCCAGAAATAATATAAAATCGATACATAAGCTGCACAAAATAATTAGTCATTAATTATTTGTGTACATGCTATTTTTACTAGAAAATTTAAAAAACTGATTTTTTCTCTGATCAGTTATGGAAGTAGCAAGTCATAAATGGCCATCAACAAAATAAAATCGATCGGTAAGCTACAATACGTAATTAAATAAAAATTATTTGTGAATATGCACTTTACAGGTGATTTAAAAACAGAGGCGGCAGATATTTTGTTGCTGATCAGTTATGGAAGTAGTAAGTCATAAAGAGCCAGCAAAAAAATAAAATCGATCGATAAGCTGCACCAAGTAATTAGTCAGTAATTATTTGTGAACAAGCTATATTTACTTGAAAATTTAAAAAAAAATAGAAAAATATGATGTCTCTAATCAGTAATAAAAGCAGCAAGACATATATCGCTAGCGAGAAAATAAAACCGATTGATAAGCTACAATACCTCATTAAATAAAAATTATTTCTGAATATGCACCTTTGCAGGCGATTTAAAAAAAGAGGCGGCAGATATTTTGTTGCTGATCCATTTTGGAAGCAGCAAGTTATAGAGAGCCAGCAACAAAATAAAATCGATCGATCAGCTGTACCCATGTGTAATTAGTTAGTAATTATTTGTTTACATGCTAAATTTACTTAAAAATTTTAGAAAAAAAATTGCAGATATTTTGTCATTGATCAGTAATGAAAGCAGCGAGTCATAAATAGCTCTTAATGACGTGCTGCTTCAATAACTGAACAACAACTTAATATCTGTCGTCTTTTTTTCTAAAAATCTTCTGCAATAGAGAACGATCATCTGTGACCCAGACCCGTCAGAAACGAGACATATCTCAGTTTTTTTGTTATTTTTTATACAGTTAAATTGCTGTTTTTGTTCAGGCGCTACACAAAAAAATCAAAATGCCTTTTATCTACAAAATTCGTAAATGTATTTAACTAAATGACGATACAATAGCTATGGGGTGTATCTAGGTAACTTGGAGATGCAGCTGAATTATATAACTTTTAAACTTCTAGTACAACAATCAAATTAAAATCGTCGTATGAGATGATTTATTGCATAATAGGAAGTTATATGTATAAAAATGGTCATGCTATGACTCAGGTAGCCTTGTCGTGACAGAAACCAATCATGCTATCTCACTCTTTCAATAAAACAACATGTCGGAAGAAAAACAAATAAAGTAAGGCAGTGTCTCACTACTGACTTTGTTCCGTTGCACCTTGGCTTAGACCATATAACCAGGGACGAAGTGATAGCCCACAACCGAGCCATACCAATTTTTTTTTTTTGATAACGAAGTTTCACCAAAAATCAATAATTATATTCCATGGAACTTACATCTATATAGAAAAAATTTCTAGCTTTTTATTTCATTGCCGCACTTATAGCCTTCATAAGTACAAAAACCTAATAAAACCATTCATGATGGTGTGTGCGGAAGATTTTAGAATTGCTGTAGCTTTAATTAATGATTTTCAAGATCCGTAAGAAGACAGTCCGTACACAGAAGATTTTATCGAAATAATTAATCGTAATATAATTACAACGCACCAATCGACTGACCGAGTATGTGGAGGAGAACAACCTAAACAGACAAAGAGTGACGTTCACAGAATGATTGCAAATAATCCGGAAGTTGAACATTTTCCACAACTTACAGTTGAAGACTTAATTAAGTTCTCAATTGGCACCTATCACGTGAGGTGGTGGCACGGTCGTACTGCAGTGAGCATTTGAAAACCACGGGAGTATATAATATTGAAATATATAGACATCCAGCGGCAGTAGAGGGCAGAAACAATAATACTCTATTCAGGTGCGGAATTCATTCACGACCACTGACCTCTATATATACAAGTGTATATATAGAGGTCAATGTTCACGACATGTTACGACAAAAAAGTATTATACTTATTTTATGTTTGATGAGAATCTAAATGGAATAAACGCAATAACAGAATATTACTGCTCATGCTACCGCGGTAAAAGGACATTGGGAAGTTGCTCACACGTCATTAGTGTTGTCTATTACTTAGGATGGGCTAGACATCAAGATCAATTTGACCACCCCGCACTGGGTATGGATTATGTTTTAAGGGAAATAAAAATTCAATAAAACTTTAGTTCAAGATTACTTTGGCCACCCCGCACTCGGTATGGATTATGTTTTAAGGGAAATAAAAATTCAATAAAACTTTAGTTCGACATATTGGTTTTTATTGTTATAGATCATGGAACACCAATGGTAGGTACCTAAATCTCCGATCTGCAATGAGTCATCTAATACGACGATTTTAATGGATCATAAGTTGATTATTGCACTAGGAATTCAAAAATGATATAATCCAGCTGCATTTCCAGGTCACCTAGATACATCCAATAGCAATAGACAAATAGGAATTTTATATTTTTTTGTGTATCGCCTGAACAAAAACATAAGGCAATATTTTGGTGTTAGCCATTGATTTCGAACATAAAAAATATAAAATTTAATTATATAAAAAATAACAAATAAACTGATATATGTCTCGTTTCTGTCGGGTCTGGGTTTTTTTCTATGTGGCGTTACCGTTCTTCTTTATAATGTACAAAAATATTTTTTATTTAATATGGTATCCTCTATGATATTTATTAGCTTGCTACATATTTATTTATCTATGATATTTATTTATCTATGATATAACCTAACCCTTTTGAAATTTCGAATTTTCGAAGTTTGGAAATTCATTCATTATAATTCATTACACGTTTAAAACGTTGTTTGTAATTTGTATATTGGTTGATTTAAAGTATTTAAAGTAATACGATACAATACGATTGGTATGTTATATGAATATATTTTTTCTCTTTCATTAACAATTCCTTAATTTCGGCTTTTGTGTACTATGATGGTTGTAAATGTATATTATGTAATTTCAGTTTACTTCAAACTTCAATACTTCAATGGCTGTGCCCACAATTTTCCGTCGTACCCTTATAAATGGGACTATATATTCAGCTGCTGCATTACGATTTGCTTCAACACAATCAGAAAAAAGAGTTTATTTTGATGTAACTGCGGATGGAGAACCTCTTGGACGCATAGTTATGAAACTAAATACGGATGAAGTTCCTAAAACTACTGAAAATTTTAGGGCTTTATGCACGGGTGAAAAAGGATATGGCTACAAAGGTTCCTCATTTCATAGAATAATTCCAAACTTTATGTGTCAAGGAGGTGATTTTACAAATCACAATGGAACTGGAGGGAAGTCAATTTATGGTCGTACCTTCATGGATGAAAATTTTAAACTGAAGCACGCTGGTCCTGGTATACTATCAATGGCTAATGCTGGACCTAATACAAATGGCTCTCAGTTTTTTATCACAACTGTTGCTACACCTTGGCTAGATAGAAAACATGTTGTCTTTGGTTCAGTAGTAGATGGAATGGATGTTGTTAAGAAAATGGAAAAGTTAGGTTCCAAAAATGGAACACCATCTAAAAAAGTTGTCATTGCAGAATGTGGTGAGTTAGTCTAAGTAACTATGTGTAGTTTAATATGAGTAGTTTGAAATAGAATTTATATTTAAAAATGTGTATTTTAATGTATGTATATGCAGTCATCCTCATTTTCACAAGTATTGTAAAAATATAAAATCTTCTTGTAATATGAAAATTTCTGTATATTTTTATTGTACTTATTTCTTTTGAAAGTATGTGTGTGCAGAACATGGAATATTAAAAGCAAGAAGTAGTGGCAAAGTGCCTAATTTATATTAGAATCACTGTTGGTAAACTCACACATTAGCAAGAAAAAAGTGTACTAACATTTGTACCAACATAACAAGGTACTTGAGATGTCACAGTAATACCATTTTGAAAATCCACAGTAAATTAGTAGAAACAGGGATCATATTAATGTCCTTATCCAAAAAGATTCTAAGTTTGAAAAACAAATTCCGCTAGTTCAACTTAAGATCTTGCAGTGATAACTTTATAGCTCATGATTGGTTTTAAATTGACTATTACATATATTACCTGCTATCATTAATAAGCAGCGACATATCCGCTTGCGTCAATTTAAGAATCCAACTGACAGTCAATTTGGCAGTACTGCACCTATGTGGCATTCACACCTTGCTCACTTTTGCTTTGTCGTGGTTTTTAATATACCATGGTGCAAAATATTTGATATTTACCATTTTTTGAATAATTTTAAATAACTAAATAGCATAGAGCAACATGGCTGACTGGTGGCCTACAGGAGAGCTGCCATAGCATTTTTTCCCGATATAGAACTGTCTATCATTTTTGCGGGGAGAAATCTATACACACAAAATTCATCCTCACTTTGAAACACACATAACAATTTCACACATGCTCATAGATACATTATTGGTTTAGTGGTCAACAACTTGGATACAGACTCGGATCAGTCGCTCAACTGCCAACCTATATATTGTATGGGGGGAGTGGCCTGTATTGGTAAACAAATTAGAAACAACATGGCCATTATTATTGTAACTTTTAATTTTAAAAAGTATTAAATAGCAATAAAAAAAATACTTACATATGAAAGGTTACGCCATCATTTTGTAAATTTGATGTGGCAGATCTCTTTTTATAGCAAAAAACTGAAAAATTCGGCATTTTTGTAGAATGTTGATAATAATGGCCTCCAGACCGAATTTCGGCCACGGCAGCCTGCCTCAAGGCTAGCCATCGGCGTAGAACAGGATTATAGTGCTCAAGCATATGCGCAAGCACAAGTGCACTCTCTATTCCCTCACTCTCATAATCCGATGAGACGGTAAACCGACACAACCGGAAAGATATAAGGCGCAGGACCAACGGCTTTACGTGCTTTTCGAGGCGCGGGGGTGAGACACCGCCAACTTCCTGACTCTGGGCAGCTACTGAGAATTTCTTGACAGAAAAACTCAATAATTGATTATATGATCTCGCACTACTACAACCACTAGACCAACGAGGCAGTCAGAATAAATGTTGATACAGCAGCACTAGTCATGTTTTTGGATTGGAATGCAAACCAATATTTATCCAATTTCAGATTTCAAAATCTGTTTTTAAAATTCCAATTTCAGTAGCGCTTGGCCATGCCAATTCATTTGTGCACCTACTTAGATTTTGTTTTATAAGTTAACGAAGCGACATAAAAAACTAGCAGAAAAGTTTTGTATGAAATTAAAACTTTTCTGGTGAAGTTAAAAATCGGCATATTTACAATGAGTTCTTGATATATTTTGTTGTATAAAATTAATCACTTATACAATGTGGTACTACGATGGTGACTTTATCATATGGGTAGGGCTAGTGCCCACTAATTATATTAATTTTGATAGGTTAAAATAATAATTTAATTAATAAATTAATTAAAATAAAGAGTATGTTCTTTTCTAAACTTGAATGGGTGCCATTTTTCGCACTTTAATATCCTATGGACCGTGCACTGATGCCAACAGAAGAAGACTGGAATTTAGCACAGAGAGTGGTGACGATGGACAAAATCCATTGGGCCATTCATAGTTTCCTCTATAAGGCGGCAGGACCTGACGGCATATTCCCGGCACTTCTACAGTTGGGGGAGTAAAGCACTAATAGTCAGAATTGTTGCCATAATGAGAGCATGTCTGGCTCTTAAATATGTTTCTAGGGGATGGAGGGAAGTGAAAGTCACATTCATAACCAAATCAGGTAAGAGCGACTATACAGACCCTAAATCCTACAGATCTATTAGCCTCATATACTTTCTCCTAAAGAAGATGGAGAATGTGTGAATGGAATATGAGAGGGTCGGCGCTAATTAATTTACCACTACACGAAAAACAACACGTCTGTAGCTTAGGTAAATCTACAGAATCGGCACTTCACCACATAATAAAAATTGAAGAGGCCATCCTAAACAAAGTAATATGTCTAGGTTCCTTCATAGACATAGAGGATGCTTTTGACAGAACAAACTTCTCCAGCATAAAAGGTGCACTAAGTAGGCATAAAGTTGAATCGGCTCTGATTGACTGGATAGTAAACATGCTCAGTACACGAATAATAAAGATTGCTGGTGAATCTCAAATAATTCAGAATGTGTGTTAAAGTCACCACTGTAGAGGCATGTTGTATTTATATTCACACACACACAATTTTTTTTATAGCATTGGGTCAAAAACGAGCACAGAGTCCACCTGATGGTAAGTGGATGCTGTAGCCCATAGACATCCACATTTATTCTCAATAATTAAGAATCAAAATGCAAATGCGTTGTCACTTCTGAGGATTAAGATGAAATGGAATGCCTCGATTGCAGTTAAAAGGGTCTCCGGTTCTCTACACTCGCCATACGAAACAGCAGCATTATGCTGGTATTCTGTGAGAGCATGGTCCTGCCCCAGTCGAGCCGACCCGTTCCTGCTACAACTATAATATAGCTGCAGCTTTTTACTTAAACAAACGCATATATTGATTTATTTTATAAAAAGAGAATATAAAACGAAAAAGACTCCTAGCAAAATTTTATTAAAAGTCAACAAAGCCTCAAATAAAGGTGGGCGTTCCCGATTTGGCCCGATCTTTCCGACTTACCAAGTGTCGTTATGCTCATGCTGTGGCTTGTCTACGAGTCTGTACTGTCACGTGCCAGGCACGCACACATATTAGCGGCGTTCGCTACATTTATTAGAAGATAACCTACTATTCTGTTTTTACTGATGTCAAACACTAGTCACTAACACTCCAATAGTCTCACTATATCAATATAATCACTCCAATCAAATGCTGTAATAATGGCCTTTTTTTGAAGACGGTGATGATTGGTGACAATATAACACCAATATTTTTATATCATGCAACCTATGTAGTTAACTTAGTTCAGTCATACTTGGTACTGTGTCAATATCCTAATAAAAGCAGCAAATATATTTAATATATTTGTGTTTTAAACACAATTGCAATATTTAATATTTTCCACTTTCTAAAGGTGACATGGATGAAAACTTTGAAGTTCAGCTATAAAGAATTATTGTGAAGTACTAAAGAAGAATTTGGTAAATAAAAAATATTATAAAATATGTATGCAATTTTATTAATCACTAAATGCAACAAATTAGTTGAGAAGGTTGCTATCATTACCCCATAAATTGGTTAGTGATTGTTGACAACAACAAATACAGCTAAATCAGTATCAAGTCTTAAGACCTATTGTAATAAGGCATTTTTAGATAAAACACTCTTTTTATATAAACTATTTCTCTCTTAACAAATATATGACAATTTACATTGATGCTATTTTATCTTTTACATTTATTTGTGATAAATATATTGCTTTAGAATATGTGTTAATTTAGTACTAAAAAAATATTTCTACTGTAATAGTAATTGAATTCTTAATTTTAAACAGCAGCCCAAAAATTGACATTTAGACAAGTTATGAAACAAAATTAAAGATTAATTAAATATATTCTAGGTAAATACATTTTATTAAAAAGAATACATCATAAAGAATTATACAAAAATATGATTTTTTGTAAGAATAAAAGAAATGAATATGAAGTGTACACTATAAAACATACCAAATACTATATATGAAAAGAGTGCAAAATCATGCAGGAAAAATAATGTTGCACTTTAATTTTTAAAATAAATTTAATTGGCTTGATTTCTATAATGTTTGTGGACTTTGATAATAGATGGTTATTAAATTATTGTTAACATTTAAAAACAAACTTTTACAAGACTTGTCAAATTTAGTCTTAGTACTTTGAAAAGTCTTGTAGTCATGCCGACAATGTCCTGAATATTTGTCAAGATATAATCAGAAGTAAATAAGTTAAAATCAGTTGTAGTGAGGAATAGTAGATGATAGACAAGGAGCCAGAACTTGGGAGGACTTAGGGCTAATTTAAGTTAGCAGCCTTCCCTTGAGTCCACCAGTCTGGTCAGAGTTAGAGATGTGGTTTTTATTTCAAGATTGAAGTGAAGAAAAAAATGAAGTCTACATGTCTACAAAATTAAAAAAAGAAAATATTCTAAAAAATTATACATACTCTTTCAGAGATAAGAAACGCCTGTGTCGTCAGCTGTTGGATATATAATGGCTCTAATTAATACTACTGTTACTTACCAGCCACATCAACTATACCATTTTAATAATCAGACCCCGAGGCTAAAAATCCCAAGCTCTATCCAAAGGGAGTAGACAATTACATTTACTTTTAGAGGTAAATAGATGGTGAAATAAAATTTAAGTATGGGGCCGTCCATTAATCACGTGAGGCTCGAAAGGGGAGGGGAGAGGGGGTCTGACAAAAATCACGAAATATGACAAGGGGGGAGGGGGTGTAGTAAGATTATCACCTGTATTTATTTTTTTGTCAAACGTGCGATTTCTAAACCTAAAAGCGGCGTGTAATGTGACCTTGACTCGCCTGTACATGTAAATTCATGTCACAAGCATGAACCTAATCCGAGCAATAATAGTCTATGGATGCACAATGTTCGTCCTTCACGCATCCTCACGCGACGATCGATCGCTAGATCGAGATAGAATCTTTGTGTGCGCGAAAATGATGTCACCGAGCGGCTTGATGAAACCGACGCTGATCTTCAACAAAGCTTAGTGCCAATAACTGACTTACAAGATGCTTATCTAGTTGTTAGTGTTGAAGAAATTCTTGCTAATCCATGGTTCGAGGACAATGTACATTAAATTTGTTCATGTACTAGTACAATATATGTTTTTCGCATGATTACACCATTCCTTTAATATTATTTTTATGCCAGTCAAAAATAAACTACAACTGCAACCTTTCTGTCTAGACATTTTTATCATGGTCGTTAATTTCAGAATAAAACTAGATTATTGTTTATAGGTATTAAAAATACACGTGATTTTGATTGGGGGGGGGGGGTCATCTTAAACCTCACCACGTATCACCAAGAGGGAGTGTTAAAAAAGGCTACAAAAACATCATGTGATTAATGGACGGCCCCTATATAATAAATTTGTCTGAGAAATTGAAAGAAAAATGTATGTTTTGCACTTTACTTAAGTTTCCATCGTGCTTTTAACATATTAGACAATAATTAGTAACTTTAAAGTTGGCACATAATATGTCAAAACAAAAGACTTTGGTATTGTGCAATTATCTATGATAGTCTAGTGTGATAGATAGTCTGCCAAGCAAGAATCCTGTCTAAGGCATATGAGTAACTTCAGTTCCGTTTTAGCGATATGTTTTAAATTTGTTATATGACTGTGACCAATTAGTCACAAAATCTTGAAATAAGAATCACGTCTCTTACACAGACAGTACAGAGGTTTTCGAGTGGAGGCTGCTAGCCTTAGAGATCAACATAAGTAAAAGTTTGCTGCCTGCATTGCATCAGATTCTCAATCATTAATAGATAAACTGTATTATTAAAATAAGATTCCATGTTAACAATTATGCAATGATTGTGAATCTGAAGCTACAGGTGACATCTAAAATGTCTTGAAGGCGAAATCTTGACTTTTCAATTTAATATTTAAATATATATTTTACTAGCATCAAATATAAAACCTTTTTTTAAAACAAAAAAAAAATGAATTTAAAAATAGACTGAAATTTCTTTGCTCTGTCTCAGGAAAAAGAGACTTGTGCCCAGAAGTGCAACAAATATAGGGTTGTAATTTTACCTTACTTACTTTATATACAAGTAGCGAACATTCTATTCACAATTACTTATGTGCTTGAAAAATATGCATCAATTGCTTATCATTGCTCTCAAGCATAACCAAAATCATCATGTAAAATTAGATTAAGAGAAAATCAGGAACCAAAAATCTGATTAAAATAATTATACGAACCAAAACCGGTTTTATAAATTAAGACATAACATTAATAAAGTATCAAAAACAAGAATTTGTAATGTTATGTTTGTAATGAAAAAGAGCATTTTTTATAATTTAAGCACTGTGGCAAACATGAAACCTTATTCAGTCTGTATACCATAGAGGAAAGATTGTTGTGGAAATAGAAAAAGGAATGTTTCTAAATTACATACCTAATAATTCTTTTTATATGTAATCACAAGACATTCAAATATTTTTTCCCCACAAACTAATGTTTATGAAACTAAGGTTTTTCAAGGCTTTACAAGACACATGTTACATAATTCTAAAATTTGAAAGTAGCTTTGAAGAAATATAAACCACTTTAGTCTTTTGGAGGAGGAATTCAATGGATAGTAATTACTAATTGTTGTTGACCCCTGCTTTCAGGAAGTTACATAAACTTGTATATTAACTGTAGCGCTAATCGAAACATTTTATGGCATGTTTGGATTATACTGGTTATTTAAGTACAACCATTAAATTGAAACTTTCTTATTGGATCTTATTTTGTGGACTTGATACTTTACATTTTTTTTAAATTTCCTTTTTACTAAATTCATAAAGCAAGTTTAAAAGCGAAAATACTACGAAACAAATGCTTAGAAGATGATAAGGTATGTGAGTATTTTATACTTAACAGTCTCCCGATATTTAGACAAATTCTGTTACATAAATGAAACTAGCTACTTTTGAACATTAAGTTATTAAATTATATTCAACTACTCTTAGAACTGCGTTAAGCAACTTTTTTCCCAATTAATATAAGCGTATCAGTAGCCTACTTTAAAGATATGATTCAACATCACATGCAGTTGGTGGTGTGAACATAATAGATGAATTAATTTATACATATAAGATTTTTTCATCAGTTTTATATGCTTTCAAAAAGTGTTACGAATCGTTAGTAATAGTAATAATAATGTCAATATAAATTATTTCTTCTACTCGCCACACTGCATAGTGCATAAAATATTTTTTCTTTACTTAATATAGTTGCAGCACTGTAATTGAAATTAATTTAATTTCACTAATAAGTTTTTAGTCTCACTTCAAATTGTCACATTTGCTAAAACTGAGAACTCATAAATTAAGATCAACTGAGAACACTATCTCACTGAGGGTCCTCGTAACATATTATCACTTAGACAAATTTGCATATTGCACTAAATGCATAGATAGTTCTTTGAATTTTTCTAAAGGATGCTTCACACGCGCGGATCGAGCGAAGCGTTTGCGAGTTGATCGACACTGCGGCCCTTGTGCATTTGAAGACTGAGCTCGTTGGGCTCCATTGTGATGTGGTGTGACGAGGTTCGCTTGTGCCTCGTATCCGGCGGCTTGAGGTCCCTGGAGCCGGTGCGGCGATGTCGGAGCACGCCACTTCCTTCTATGAGTCGTTTGCTTTCCTCGTCGCCGCACTTGGTGAGCGGGAGTACGGTGAGGTCGAGGCTCTCCATGCTTTTGATGGCGAGTTGCTTGAGCTGGTCGAGACTGAGGTCGCGCGAATCGGAGCGTGAGTGAGGTTTCGAGTCGTTACGCGAGTGCGTGTGCGACACGGAGCGCGGGAAGGCGCGCTCCGGCTCGTCGAGCGAGTGGTGGCGCGAGTGCTGGTGCGAGTGGTGGCGCGCGCGCGGCTCCAGCTGGATGGTCTTGGAGTCGTTGCGCAGGTGGCGCGACGCGATCAGCACGCGCGAGCTGGTGGCGCGCGCGTGCTGCTGCGACTCGTGCGAGTGCTGCGACTCGGTGCGCTGCAGCCGCCTGCACTCCGCGCCGGCCGCGTCGCCCGGCTCCAGCGGCGTCGTGCTCGCCGAGCTGGGGCCCGACGTCGCCGCCGACCGGAACCCGCTCGCGTTCTCCGCCGACGGCAGCTCCTCGAACACTGCCACATGTACAAGCACATTGTTATTTGATAAGGAACCTTGTCATGATAAGGTATAGGAAAATAGTTTTATATATATAAATCGTTTCTTTTGGGTTTCGGCGGGAATTTAACTGGCGGCTGATTGCTGCCCCATATTTTTGAAATAGTTTTTAATACGTATTAGTGGTGCAATTTTGTGAATTAAATGTCTACGCAAGTTAATTGTTAGTGGAAACGATAAAACAAGAGCTCCGATAGTGATGTAAACCTCAATATAGT